GTTTACAGAAAAGACCATTATCATCATTAAATTATCACCACAACAGAAACTATACATGCAGCCATCCAGTTGAATTATAAAGCAATAATTAACTAGCTGCTTATAACCAATTACTTCTAAGCCCAACTAACAATATCAATAGATTATATGCATCACAAACACCACAGAAAACATCATGGTTAAGCCTAAGTAATTTATTTATATTCATTTATTAATTTCCTTATATAATAAGGTGATTTAAAGGATAAATATTTCCATTACTCAATAAATTTTGATAAAATTTCAGTACCTTACATATGACACTAATAGTCTATGGTACAAATTTCATGCCATTTGGATAAGTATATCTACCTCTACAAAAATGACAAGTTACATATGCTTATTTTAGCAAAAATAGTTTAGCATAGTAAAAAGTGTCAAGCAACAGATTTAATATTTTTCTTACTTTCCTCCTAGCATGAGAATACTGTGTACAATTTTGTATGATCATATGTTATGTAGTTTTACGCCAATTAATTTCACTAGAATCTAGCAATTAATTAAGATTAAATAGGAAGACCATATTACAAGTATGTCTACTATAGGTTTAGTATTTTTCCTAACTATAGCATGTCAAACAAGATCAACAAAATTGGAATCACAATTTTATCACCTTCCTAGCTCAAGTTATGCATTTTACAAGATATAAACTATTTTAAAGGCACTTATATTGCTCAATTTAATTCTCCTAGAAAAATACCTTAAGAAGTAGATTTCATATTTTTTATCAAATATTACACTTCATGATAAATCTAATTAAATTTGGTTCACCCCATTTGGATACTCCTAGCTCCATATATCAATTTTTGAAGCTTGTAACAAAATCTATGAAAAATAAATAAAGAAAATTAAATTTCCAACCGGGCGCTACAGTTAGGTGCACCTGGTCTATGCACCCACGGTGGCTGATAGCGGGGGCCCACGGTCAACTCGGCCCCACGTGCCAGTGAGACAGAGCAGAGCACCGGCTTGACCGGCGAAAAGCTCGCCGATGACGAGGTCACCGGCGGTAGCGTCATCACCAACGTGTTCCCAACTCATTCCACATGGCGGTCAACGGGTGCCCTCGTTTGGATCAAAGGCTCGCTGGAGCTAGCTCGATGGCGGCCATGGCGGACGACGGTGCTGCATGGTGGCGCACCAGCCATCTCTAGCCACGACAAGCTCAGACGGGCTCGGCTACACTTCTACTGGATCTAGCGGAGACCTAGGGTTAGGTTAGGGCAACGGTGGAGCGGCGGTGAAGCTTGGCCACGTGCATGGCATGGCAGCGGCGAGAGCGTGGTGGTGAGCAGCCACGTTCCGGCATCGACACACTGCATTGGCTCGACTGCTAGCGGTGTGAGCTAGACGTGACCCTATGCTAACCCTAACAAGAGAAAGGCGTGAGCGAGACTACTCTGTGGAGCACGACCACAATGAGTGCAAGCTCAACGGTGCCCCGATGATGGCCGCGGCGATGGCGATGCGAACTGTGACCTTACCTGAGCTCGGATGGTGGCAAGGGTGAGTCGGCTGGGTGGAGCAGGGTGCGGCGGAGCTGTGGGTGTGAGGAATTAAACAATGGCACGGCGATGGCAGCGTGTGAGCTTGGCGGCAACAATGGCGGTGCTACGGTTTTGCTCGGGCATGGCGAGAGCGAAAGCGAGTCGAGGAAGAGAGAATGAGCACGACGCGGCATCTACTTCTACCCACTCTGGCCTGACCGATGGGGCTAGCTCCGGCATACAGCCACCAAGTGGCGGCCGTAACCTGCGCACGGTCAGCCACGATGGTTGGCGTCGAAATCGGCTAAGTGTCGATTCAGTTGACTGAACCCGTGATCTTTGAGCCCCTAAATCTCCTAATCCGTAGTGAATTTGTGAAAACTTCATTAATACGAAGTGTAGAGCTATATGAGTACTACAAGATTGTTTAAATGAGTTTTTGTCTAAATCGCAATGGCTTTCAAACTACAATGCTCCAAAGTAGCCTTCTTTGAAACTGAAAACCAATTTAGGACAACAAAATTTTGTTACAAACAACATTAAGTTGAAACTTGTGAGCTCTATTTGACTAAGTTAGGCATTGAATTAGCTCATGACCCTTAAATAAAGTCTGTTACTCATGACAAGAACTACAACTTTTATTTAGGTCACATAGCCATGCAAGCTCTCTAAACTACTGTTCAAGTTTAGTCAAACTAGCATCATGAAAATGACATTTCAATGTAAACCAACACTTAGAAGCAAAATTGGTTCATGTCATAATACAAAAATTGTTCTATTTACCATCCTAGATGTGTCTAAGGTGTTTTCATGACCTCACAACTATTTCATACATTGGTCATACATGATTACAAGCATATGCATATATCTAATCAACATCACATGTGATAATGTATAAAGAATGAAATGAAATTTCATATGCTCATGCTCATGAATGAATGGATGATGCTTGTGCTCATGAAATGCAAGTGTCAATTGTAATGCTTAACACTGGGGTGTTACATTGCACATGCATAGATCACAACTAAGCATATCTAGGTTTGGAACCCAAGATCACCAAAGAGCATAGGTGCTCAGTTTGATAGAGTGTCCGTCATATCGATGGAGTGTTCGATAGCTCCAAGAAACCAGCCACTAGGACCTTACCTTCTGTAAACATGAACCATCAAAGAATCCACGGTCTCTCGCGGAGTGTCCACCAGTTTTTATAAACAAAAACCCCACAACTCGAGAGCACCCAGTTGTTAGCAGAGGGTCCATGACCTCTCATGGAGTATCCGCTGATTTATAAACCTAGTGACATAGGAAACCTGAGACCTCCTACTTCCTACCGAAGAGTCCGTCACCAGAGTCAAACCAGAGCCAAGTCACCCCAAAACCCTATCCCAACAGAACATCCGCCACCCTAGGTCGAGAAGGATAAAGTTGTCTAGCTTACCCAAGAGGTCAACAACAATACTAGGTTAAGCATAGTTTCAAAAGACAATAGTAGAGCCATAGAGCCTCTATCCTCCATGTCTTATTCCTAAGCCTTCATGGATCTTTGTATCCGCTGATTTATAAACCATTGAGTGACATAAAACTAGGCAACCCCACTACTAAACCTCCTTTGGATGCTTATCGAGTCTCATTATGAGTTATGCATTACATGTAGTTTTGGTTGTTAATCTTGTTCACCTTACACAGAGTCACTCATTACTCTATTATTAGAAGCCTCTCATCTTAACAATAGGAATGGAAACACTTAATTGCTTATTGCTTAGTTGCTTAGCAACGGTAGAAGTCGAGCATGAGAAGGGAACTCATTCTCGCGCGTGTAGGATGCTGCACTAGGATAATTAATCACTAAAACCAACGGGGATACAACTTGATTTACTTTCCTAATCTAGATAGACTTCACTTCACTTAAGGTTATACACTTGGGTACCACTTTGGTAACTTTGCTCATGCGAGCACCCCATCTTAAACAACGTAGCTCGTGGAGCGATTATCCCCAACATGATAAGCAACTAATTATGATCGGTTTATCCATGAAACTAGCAAGGGGTTGCCATATTGACCAGGCACTAGTCGAACCCTTCATAGGATACTCGGGCTGGTTTAGGGAAAGGTTGGGAGACGTGAGGCAACCCTTATCTTGTACACAAGGTATGGTGGTTAGTCCCGTTCTTCCATGTGGATACAAGTTGTACACCTCTGCTGAGTTTCGAAAGCTTGAAGTCCCTCGGGACGGACCCCTTATGGTTATTCTTTCTTTCTATACCCATGGTAGAGAGATGATGGAACATAATGATGTTGCGGCTTATATGTGTTAATCACTCTTTTGGATATCATACCTGGTTAATGCTAATACCTTAAAATGAATCATGAGCATGTCATCTAAGAAACGTCATATACTCTTCGCAAATGTACAAATGCCAAATAATACTCTTTGCATCCACCAAATATCTATGTGTTGGAATTAAGTCCTGCGAGTACGAAATGTACTCACGGCGCTGCCGTTAAGTTGTTTTGTAGTTGTTGTTGCCCCGGTGGATGCGAGGTAGCGCTCTATTCACCGCTGCATAGTAGACCTTGGATTGAGCGAATCCAAGATGGGCTGCAAGTTAACTCCGATAAGAATCCGAGCGAGATATGGAAGAGTCAAGCCTAGAAGGAGAAACTAAAACTATATAAACTTTGTGAATTATGTATTTTTATGTAAGCATAATAACCTAGATAGTTGGGCATGATGTTGGATGTTATGTGTGTTGGTTTGCCACATGGAGTATTCCGTGTCACTCGACCGTTACAAAAATCCTAAAGTGTTGTGTGTGGATGGGAGCGCGACAGCGGCGACCAAAATCGAAGACACACTTGTGGCAAGGTTTGGCACGAAAATGAGTCTATGACATGTGGGGTAGGGTGCTAAGAAAAAGTTTAGCGTGCCATAGGTGTGGCATTGAACCAAACAGCTACCGAAGAAACTGTGGCACGATAAACGTTTGGCGTGGCAGATTTTGGTCACCAACCAAACAGACCCTATACACCTTGAGTTATCGTAGACTGATGCACTTGAATGAAACTGTACTCCATTTGTTACATGATTATCTCTTTAGCGACAAGTATGTAACGATGATGTGTTAGACTTGTTCAAGCCCAACCTGACGAATGTACATACTTATTGCTGTCGTCATCGCATGTAGTACATACATAATATGCATGCTGCGAATACATCCATCTAAATCAAACACATGCAATGCTGCCAAATGCCAATTGGAAGACTCGTTCCTAAGCTGACGAAGCAATCATCGCTCACAAATAAACTAATAATAAAGTCGCCGGCCTGGCCAACAAATCATGCTTGATCACTCCCACTATAAATAGAATCTGCTTCGTGCTTAGTTAGGCACACAGAAGTCAAGGTGACATATATCTGCAAACCAAACTTTAGTGTAATTCAGTTTACATAACTAAGGAGAAACAGAGGCACAGATGGCGAGCCATCATCTGCTTCTCCTTGTTCTGTTAGCTATGGCCTGCTGTCATGCCATTGCCTCCGATCCGAGTCTTCTCCAAGATGTCTGCGTTGCCGACAAGACATCTCCAGGTAAATGCAAACTTGCACTGCACCTACACTAATACCAGGATGCATGACTATATATATGAATACATCCATGCAGCACATGTCAATGGATTTACTTGCAAAGACGCAAAGGACGTTGCAGCAGAAGACTTCCACTTCTCCGGCCTCCACAAGGCTGGCAACACTAGCAGCAGCAAGCAAGGCTCAGCCGTGACGGCCGTCAACGTGGCACAGATACCAGGGCTGAACACGATGGGGATCTCCATGGTCCGCATCGACTACGCTCCCAGCGGCATGAACCCACCGCACACCCACCCTCGGGCAACAGAGATCCTGACAGTGCTGGAGGGCTCGCTCTTCGTTGGCTTTGTTACCTCTAATCCAAACAACACGCTCATCTCCAAGGTCCTGCACAAGGGGGACGTGTTCGTCTTCCCAAAGGGCCTCGTCCACTTCCAGTTCAACAATGGCAAGGGCAGTGCCGTGGCTCTTGCAGGCCTGAGCAGCCAGAACCCTGGAGTCATCACTGTTGCCAACACAGTGTTTGGATCCAAGCCGTCCATTGCGGACCATATACTCGCCAAGTCCTTTCAGGTCGACAAAGCTACGGTGGACTTAATGCAAGCTCAGTTCTAATATAATGAAGCATGCAGATCTATCAGTAGTTTGGGTTGATTATTTATTTGCTGAGTAGTTCAATTGTTTTCTAGCTACTTGCTTTAATTTCTTCATGCACGTTGTATTATTGTTTACATTTGTATACTAATTGTTTTATATATAGTTGTGTAATCTTATGTTATTGTTGGTGGTGCAAAATTAATGGCAGCACTCAGTGATATGTCAGTTTCCAACATGTTTTGCAGTAAAATACGTTATCCTGCATTCTGTCATGCCTGCTTATTTTCTACTCCCTCCATCTCAAATTATTAGTCATTTCAATTTTCTTGCACTACGTCACATAGGGTTTATAGGGGCGGTTTTAGAGGGTTTGTAGGGGCGGTTTGGGCAGCCGCCCCTACCAAACCGTCTCTACAAATCATGCATTTGTAGGGGCGGTTTCCAGACCGCTCATACAAATCGATTTCGTAGAGGCGGCTGGTATTAACAGCCACCTCTACATTTTTTCGCAAAAAAAAATTCAAATTCGACCAGAATATATATATATATATATATATATGTATATATATATACATATATATATATATATATATATATATGCATATATAATTCAAATCTGACCAGAACATATATAATTCAAATCTGACCACAATCACAAGAGCATTATATAAACTACCATTATAAGTCCAATTCACAAAAATATATACAATCCATCATTAAATAGACATAATTTACAAGTCTAATTCGTTCCACAAGTCCAAACCGTTCCACGAGGTAAGACCAGTGTAAAATTCCATACGCATTGTTATCAATGGCCTACAGCTAGCCTTTCAGTCTCACGAAGGTATTAGTACCGAGGATTTCTACTTAAGTCAAAATCTCGGTCGTGGTAGGTGTCTTTGACGTGTACAATCTAGTCCAATATGAAGTTGCAAAGGTCGCCGACGAGCTCTAAGAGTTGGTCATCCTTGTATGGGTCTATTTTCATTTCTTTCTCTTCTTTCCACTACAAGAAAACAAGTTTCGGTTTAGTATTTCATGTCATGTGCGAAGTTTTTATACTACAGGTGAAGAGGTTCAAACTTACCCTTAAGGGGTGTCTCCTGTAGGCACCGGTGTTACTCATCATAGAACATATCCACAATGTACACTCCTAGGCTTCTGCTTGGGGCACTGTGTGTTTTGCATATGGAAATGTTAAGTAATGCTTTTGATAGCCATATAATGGAGTACTAAAGTAAATTACACTTACCGCACATAGTGTTTTTATAGCCAGCCTTTCATTCCTTACTGGATCATGCCTTCCGTGATGTTCATTGACATAGAACCTGAATGTCCTGTTCGAATTATTTTAGTAAATGCAACTTGTTAGTATCCAAAAGTTAATGTTACAAGTATGTATACAAACATATAAGCTAATGAGGATTATTGATATGTATACGTTGTAACATCCCGGTCCATGGCTTAACATGATTAATATGATACTCATACCAATAAGTTGCAACTTCTTTTCCGGAAGCCCATCTGCAAATAACTTCGAGGTTAAGCGTGCTTGGCCTAGAGCGATGGGTGACCGACCGGAAAGTCCTTCCCGGGTGCGCACGAGTGAGGACAAAGTGCGCAGAAAAGACCTGTGTTGGTCTGTGAGGGCAGTCTATATCCTAGAGAAGCTGCCAGATGTAAGCGGGCCCGGCCTCAGAGAGGCGGGACGTTACAGAATGGTATCAAAGCCGACTCTCGCGGTTTCACGGGCGCGTGTGTCGCAGTTGCGCAGGCATGGTGCGCATGGCTGGTGTGGATCCGGCATGGTCACACAGCATGGCACATGCGCTGGCTCTGGACACACGGACGTGGCCAAGAGAGGACGCTCCTGGCTTGGGATTGATCGACGAGGACGTCGATCTCTTAAGGGGGTGAGGATGTAACATCCCGGTCCATGGCTTAACAGGATTAATATGATACTCATACCAATAAGTTGCAACTTCTTTTCCGGAAGCCCATCTGCAAATAACTCCGAGGTTAAGCGTGCTTAGCCTAGAGCGATGGGTGACCGATCGAGAAGTCCTTCCCAGGTGCGCACGAGTGAGGACAAAGTGCGCAGAAAAGACCTGTGTTGGTCTATGAGGGCAGTCTATATCCTAGAGAAGCTGTCAGATGTAAGCGGGCCCGACCTCGGAGAGGCGGGATGTTACATACGTCTTGAGAATCGATATGAAGTCTTTGTATGTCACCGGGTCTCTATCTATTGAATCAAAGACCCATGCCATGCTTCTCCCGACATCGGTGCCTATACAAATCCAGTGGTTGCTGCATGAATTTAATCATAGAACTAGATATGCTCTTTTGCATCGAATAAAATATATTGAACAAAGCTTTAAGTATAGAGTTGAACTTACTCAGAGTTGTATGGTAGCCATATAGTAGAGTGCTGTTGGAGATTTTTAAAAGCCAAGGCAATGTATGCCGAAACCTTCAGGGACTCTTGCCTTAGTTTCTTCGCACGGATGTCTTCTTTCTCCCGAAGGGTCTTTCCAGCAGCTAGCTCTTTGGCATCTAGTTTCCACTATCTAGGGTAATTAAAATTTGTTTGTGCTATAGCTTGAGGGTCTATATACCCGGTTTTCACACTTGGCATTTGTTTTACAATATGCACTTGCATTCTACAAATCACGGTGTGGGTTAGTTACAACAAAATCCAAAGATTACATTCATATCATATCGGAAGGGCAAGGACTTAAAGGCACCATATGTGAATTAGATTCATTTCCATTGCTCTGAGGTGAAAGCATGTCTGCATGTCATTGAAGTCAAAGATAATTTTCTCGGCTGGGCTTCCAAATGTGCCAATGGGGAAGCATGCTTGTATGAGGTCTATGCTCGTTAGGAGAACACGCAAGTACCAATCATGAAACCTTCTCATTCCAAGTGGTAGGCATTGGATATCCCGGTTTGATAGGAAGGGCTTGCCTCTTTTATATGTTTTCGGGCAATCCTTTGACCATTTGATGGCATCAACATTTGGTACTTCTTTGCTATTTGGTGGACTTTGCTAGTGATGGTCTCCTCAAAAGCCCGTGTTGGGACTTTTTTAACTTGGTTCTCAGGCTTGAACTGGTCATGGGCATACCACTTGTGCACCGACGAGATGTCTTTCATTGGAACATAAATTGTCCTTATGGTGATTGGATGTTTCTTTCGAAGTTCCCATTCAGGCACGCCCTTATCTTCTTGTGCATCACCTTCTTTAGGAGGCACTCGTTGTTCATGTATCGGCTGCGCTTGTTGAGAAGACTGTGGCATCTCATCATGCACTTGCTCGGTACGAGCTGGAGAAGGTTGTGGCTTATCAGGCACATGCTCACTAGGAGGCAGGGAAGAATGTGGCATCTTAGGAATGTGGTGGTCATGAGACGATGAAAATATCTCCTCGTCCTCGACAACTCACTCCAAATTTGAGAGAGGGGGAGGCGGCGAAGAAGCAGTCAATATAATGCCCCGTTTGTGCCGAGGATGATGAACTACCCCATTACGTCTCCGAGTAACACCATCCCCTCGGGAGTTGCGTAGTCTATCCTCCATTGCATGAACTCAGGCTTCATGGTATGCACCTTGACCCTAGTGTAGTCCGGTGGTATCTTATTATTGTGCTGTAAGCCACCGGGAGGATGTGCCACACCCGTTGCCACCTCCATCACAATGTTCTACCGGCCGCTGAGAAACACTAAGGTGGAACTAGTTGGTTCCTGTATACGATCGACGGGGGTTGTGGCTGCACTGGAACCTTGTCTGCTAGGAATTTCTGGAGGGCTGCCAACTAATGCTAGTTCTCCCGGTGGCGCCATTAATGTCCGTGGCTCCGTAGACAGTCCGTGCTCCTCCAGCGCCTTTGCAACTAGAGCCTTCACTTGGAGCTCAAGATTAGCCTCCCAGTCTCTGCCATGTTTCTTGTACATGTGCCTGTCCTCTTTGAATCCGTGCTTCTAGGTCGTCCTTTTCCCTAGCCCCCTGGTGCGGCATGTGTGCTCGTTGTTTCCCAAGCTAAGGCTAAGCTCGTCCCTCTCTCTGGAAGGATTGAATGAGCCATTCTCATTGTCTTTAGCATATTTCAGTATCCTTGATACTGCCTCTTGGGTCTCCGGCTTATCAAACTTAAGATTACCGCCAGATGATTCTGTACTCCTCGCATATATCCAATTCCTTGAGCGTACCTTCAAATTCTTCACATCGATATTCCCAGAAGCTGCGACCTCTTCGTCCATCTTCCTAAACTGCTCTTCCTTGGCATAGTAACCACCGGGGCCTAGATGATGGTGATGTTTGTTCCTCTTCACCAGCTCGGTGTTACGGGCACTGAGCTCCAATGCCTCCGGTGAAGTCTTCTAAGCCATAAGCTCCTCCCATTGACTAGGAGTTATGTTGCCAAACTCGTTGAAGGGAGTTAACCCCTTTTGGATATACTTCTTGTTGAGCTCCGACCTCCAACGTCAGAATGACTCTCCCATGATCTTGAAAGCATTTTTACCAGTTCTTGCTTACCCTCCAAAAATCTAAAATTGAGCTTTAGCTGCTTATCCCATAGTTCATCCTTTTTCTTCTTTGGTACCTCTTTCTAGTTAGGGATTGTTGGGTTCAATTTATCTCTTACTAGGGCCCCAATCGCATTACAGAATCGTCCTCTAAATTCCTTTGGCTCAAGGATCTCCCCTGCTGGCCCAACCTCTGTTATCACATAGCATGCCTTATCTAGATATTGGTTTGCTTTTCTATCCCCTCGTTTCCTCTTTGGCTTGGTAGTTGTGTTCGTTGTTGTGTCTTAAGGTTGTGGAGCAGAGGCCTCAATGTCCGTCTCTGTGGTTGTTGCCTCTACTCTCATTTCCTCTACTCCATCTTGTCTAGCAAGATGTCATGGACGTCGACGTCGTCTTTTCTGAGTTTCAGGAGAGACCTGTATATACGACAGGTCAAAGTGTTAGCAAAGGTAACACAACCAAAGCTTTAGAAAAATTTTCAAGCTAAGG